GTATGATCCTTTATCTGTGGGTATATATGCCACAGAGGCCAATGGTTTTGATTTGTTTGAAATCTTGCTTTTTTTTTCAATGGATATCTAAACATTAAAGTCAACATTTGTTCAGCTTTCCCCTAAAATAGAAGCTCAGAGTTTTTTACTTCTAAGTTAGCCATGTTTACTGTAAGATTTAGCCTGTTCTTGAAAAATTCCTTAGGTTCTCTCATTTTTGCAACAGATTACAAAGTTTGGCTGCTACCTGTTTGTGATGGCAATAGCTCAGGCTGTAGATTTTTCCTATATATCCTGACCAGGGCTGTTAAGCATCATATGTACACCTATGGGCTCCTTTTGAGATGTTGGGACAAAGACTGAACACTCAAATAACCTGGAAGAGGAGGAGTAGCAACAACTTAACATGATGGAAATAAATACTGACACCTAGTAAAATATGCTGTTTCTTTTCAAATGTCTCAATTTGCAGAAGAAACTACTGATTAAGACAATGGGATTTCTGAAAAACAAATTTGGACAATGATGCAAAATGTTTGGTATCTTGCTACGGTCACTTAATCCAGTGGTTTTCTAGTGCAATATAAACAGAAAAATCCCAGAGCAGGAGAACTTTGGACTTTATCTTGGCTGAATACTTCACCACTAGATAATACTGTACTTTGTTTCTCCGGCTTTACTAGCTGTGCAGTGTCTCAGCTTCAAGGGATATTATTGAAAGTGCCTTTTCTTGCAGTTACTGTGGTCAGTGTATATGTTTTGGATTCAAATGCATCAAACAGGGAAAATACAAGCTGAATTTCTTCTGGTTAAGACAAATGCTCTAGCCATTTGGATACTGGCAAAAGATACATCAAGCCTGCTCCAGTAAATTTTTAAATAAACATATCAGAATATTCTAGGTATGCTCACCTAATTTTTACTGAATTAAATATGGTCATATCTCTGAATAACCTTTGACTTTCACTGGTGCTTAGAAAGAAGAAAATATCATAGATATTAGGACCAAGGAGCTTCTAAAACTTGTGAAAGGTACTTTAGGTACCATGAACTGAGATGAATCTGGGATGACTTTAGAGGTGCCTAGAGACTTTCAGGACTCTTGTAAGTCAGGTTCTGCTGTGAAAGAGAGAGACTTCTTGTTCCTTAGCCTTGCAGAGTTGCCTAAATCCTGCCAAATTTAGGCAAAGTGTAGGTGTAGTGTTGGTCCTTGCCCAAGGAGTTAATATGGCAAATTCACATGTCATTCTGTGGACCTGACACAATTAAGGAATTTATAGTGACAGTCCCTTAAACTGAGGATGCTGGTGACCTGGAAAGGTTGAGGTTTTTGCCTTGTTAGTCAACACCTCACTCAGAAAGCACTTGCACTCTTTTACTAGCTAAGCTTTTCATGCAAACTTGACTAAGCAGTGCATCAGGGCAAGGAACACTCAGTCTCTAGAACAAAACTTACAAGAACTAATGTTTAAAGTATTCTAATGACAAACAGTGCATTTTAATATGTTATGACCACAATCCAGAGAATCTATTAAATAAGGAAAAGCACTGTAAACATCATTAGTTTCTGAGAATAATTTATAATTGGAAAGGATATGAAGTTTATTGATCTGCATTGTTAGTTTTGCAAGTGTCTGAGGCCAAACAATTTCTGCAGGGTTTTTCTGCAATCCTTCTTATTCTGACAAATGCTGGAAGAACAGTTCCACAAAGGACATGTCCAAGGATGAAATCTTTTTGATCCCAAAAACCAACCTGCACAGATGCTTTGAGTATTGTCAGGGATAAGGAGATCTTGGTGGGCATCCACACCTGTTGAGGGAAAGCACAGTCAGCTTTTCTAGCAAGTGCATCAGGATTGCTCCCAATCGTACCCTTATTCCTACCGTCAGGAAGAAGCTGTCTCTTCCTTCAAATAAACATAAAATCTCAGGTCTCCCTTGTAGTTTCAGGGATGTGGCAGCAGGGTGGCTCAGGGGCAATCACCTTAGCAGCCCTTGCTCTGGCTTCCTGCTCGTGTATTTTGCACCTCCCAAAACAATGAATGGATCTTCATTTCATTCTAGGGCAGTATTTTTGGGCAAAACGTCCTTTTTTTAATGTCCATTACTTATCCCACATCATATTCTTGATGAAGAGCTCCAAGAAGTCCCCACCTGTAAAGTAAGGAGCAAATGTTTTTTAGCTATCAACTGTTTCTGAATGAGGGGTTCCTTTCTCATTTATCTGTGCTAACAAGTTCATTATTTCCTTTTAAGTACTATGACCCGCTGACCTTTGGTTTGCCATGCAATTCTCAATTGATATGTCAGGACATCCCATTGTGTGGGGACGTGTCATAGTTTATTTAGATGTTGCTAAGCCGACAGACTGTTTTCTGAAAAACAGGATACTCAGTCTTTAAATTTTAAGTGTATTTATCCCTTTCAAATCCAAATTAGGCCTCGCTTCCAACTGACTTGAATATTTTGTAGATGCTTTTAAAATCTGCCTTTCATTGATACTGTCCCACATCAGTAATTTCCACTTTCCCGAAATCTTTTTTCTATCTTTACTAAAAGTAGGAAAATGTCTCCCCTGTTTCTCCACATCAGACTTGCTGACATTTTCACTAATAGACTTTTTCTCCATGTTATATATGTGGCTGTATCAGGAGGCATGTGCACATGCTGGCATCTGACATTTGTGGGCAGTTTTGCAGACTATATACAGTAATCTAAAATAGAAACATTTTACCTGGCAGGGCGCTACAGTGAGTCTCCAAATAGCCCAGTGAGTCCATCGGGTGCCCCTGTGGGTTCATAAGTAACAGTGGTACAACCATCCTTTGTCAGCTTTCTCATGCCCAAGCTTTCGGGATGCTTATAGAGAACCTTCACAAGTAAGAAATGCAGCATGGGGACACATAAAAAAAACACCTGAGAATCAAATAATTGTTTGATGGAAGGTGGCATTACAGTCCTGAGGCAAATAGACTCACACTTTTCATAATAACCAAAATTTCTGGGTTCCTGTTGATACCCAGAAAGCTGGAGATATTCACGATCATCCAGTCCAGAAAAGTGTGTCTCTTCCTTCATTTTCCAGAGAAATCAAGCAGTAATATTTTCCATTTGGTGTAATTTTTCTGTTCATTTGTGGTCAGATAAATGTTTACTTCCAACAATTTATGCCCTTTCTTCCATTTTTTTTTATAGTGTATCTGAATTGATCTCACATATGGTATTGCAGAGGGTTTTGATAGCCACAGATGGTTCATCTGCAAACATTTGAAATCTGCTTCACTATCCAAACCGCCAGTACTTGTCAGTGTCCCAAACAGAATCAGTAAATGTCTGATGTAGCTGTTCACTCATTATAAACACTAAAGGGTACTGAGTTGGCAATTTAAAAAAAAAAAAAATCAAAAAATCTTATTTCCTGATTCTGTAGCTCCAGTAATAATATCAGGAGGAGAATCATTTCATAGCAGGTAAACTGAAGAAGTTTTAGTTGGCCTTTCCGTGCTTCACATTAATTTCCATCATCTGAATTTTTTTTGGTCAGATCTCTGAAACTAAACTACATCATTTCTACTGTAGCATGCTACATTTTTCTGTCATTAAAAGAGCACAAGTTAATTTGTATATGTATTGGCTAAAAATCCCTAAGTCCATTCAAAAGGAAAAGAAAAAGCAGGATTATTAGGCAGATGAAACAGACTCATTTATTGGTGTACTTAATATAGAAATTTAAAATTACTTGTCCCATTAGAAAAATACAGATAGCTTTAATTTTCCGTGTTGGATGAGTATCCGCATCCAGCAGGGCTTGCTCTGACAGGATCCTTCACAGATAGAGACCTGTTGGTGGGCTGAGGTGGGGACCAGGGAAAGGCAGAAACACAACTAATCCCTGCTTTATTACAGTGTCAGCAGAAGCAGGTAGTTCAGCTGATGTCCATGGCCCAGGTCCCACCTACATGGTGATACAGTCTGGCCTTTCTTTCAAAGGCAATTCTGCACCTGCCCATAAGTAGAGACAGGAACAAGGATAAACACTATCTTCTGCACTCGTGGGCATTTTGAAATAAAAACTGCCATTAGTCCCATCACCTCACTAGAAGTCCCAGTCCCCAGTTCTAAAATTGTTGAGTTGACTCCGTAATAAAGAGCAGATGCCAAGGGAAAGGAAAAAAAAGACATTATCCCCATTTTTTCAAGTGGTAAATGAAAGCCCTGCGAATACACATTACTTGCCCAAAGTGAGATAAAAAAATCAGTGCCAGAGCTATGCTGTACTTCAGGTGAAGTGTGTCAAGGCCAGACTACGTCCTCACATGTAGAAACTACGTATAGATGATTCAAATGATTTAAAAGGACTAATCAAGCAAGTAAAGAAACAATGAAAAAGGAACTGAGGCAGCCAGCCAAGCAATACCAAGTTACTCTATAACCAGGTGTATTGTCTTCAAGAAGCTCATAGGCAGTCACTTAGAAATTTGGGGGGCTCCAGATACAGGACCACTAGGGACCTTCAGTGAAGCCCCTCAGAGACCTAATAAGGATATGTATATATACTAATAAGTCCTGGGAAATGTCATGAATATGTAACAGGAATGTGGGGAACGAAAAATAAACAATCATGTAATGTTGACAAATAAGCTTTAGAGGAGATACCTGTCTGTGCACTTTGGCAAAACAATTCCCAGGGCAGCCGGCATGCTGGAATCATTCTAGCGCGCATCGTAATAAAAGAATGCCAGGCTTCTAAAACTTGCAAATTGGGTAATAGAGGTTTCCTTTAAGAGCTGATTTTCAGCAACAAAAGGAGCCTTAGAAGTTGAGAACAGGCCCTGGGATGAAAGGAAATGGCATCAGGATATAAGAATTACATGATTAGAGAATGAGTAGGGAAATACTGTAATTCTGACAGCTGCAACTTCACTGAAAAGGAAAGGTAGAAAACAGAAGGTAAAAGAAAAATTAGTCTGTTTCCCAAGGATGAATGAAGAAGGTCCAATGGCACCTTGACAGATGTGTTCATTCTGTGGTGAAAGAGTGAGCCAGATTTGTTAAGACTCTGGGTGTAAGGGGAAGAAATAATACCTCCTAGAACCAAGACCATGGCAGAATGGGTAGTCAGTCTGTTCCTGAGCAAGTCACTACAGCCAGTGTTGCCCTGCTTGTGGGGAGCCTGCTCAGCCTGTGGGGTGCTGAAAAAATCTCCACATCCCTTCTGCTTGTGGTCATCTGCTTCCTTTGATACTCCTAGGCTGGGAGCTGCAGGGCAGAGCCAAGGCCAGAGACTGGGAGAGGCAAGTGGCAAGCTTGGGGCAGGCAGGAATGGCAGAATAAACCCACAGCAGCACATGCCTCTCACAGGCATGGTCTTCCTTCCAAGACATCAGTAACAAGCAGTTTTAATCCCCAAACTTGGCAGCTTTTCTACAATTTGCTAAAGAGTGATTGTGTTTGCTAGGCACTTAAATCCATGTGCAGACTTCTCTTCCTAGACTTTAAGTGGCCTTGCAAGGATCGTGACTCTGAGTTCTCATTCAATCAAAACCAGAATATTTTTCCAAGCAGGAGAATGAGCATAGAAACTGTATTTCTCTCTCACTGTACAGACTTCCAGATTTACACAGTGCAGCTTGAAACCACAACCAGTCTAGTGAGGAAAATGTACAGTCAACTGGACATTAATTGTTTTGAACACTATTACTATAAAAATAAATAATCAGCCAACTTAATCTCTGAATAGAAAACTCTGCAGTGAGAAGATTGTGTGAATAACTGACATGATTGCTGAAGAAGAGATGGAAATAATAGTTTACAGTTCACAGAATCTTAATGGACGATCAATGTGGTAAATTGGGATGTGGTTGAAATTACAGATGGAGTAATTAAAATTAGCCATGAATAATAGAACACAGTTCTTCTAGAATAGACTAGAAAGTGCCACTAGACAGAAACAGAATAATACTGTGCAAATGTACAGAAATTTTAGTTTTTAAGAGAAATTCAAACTGGCAAGAGATGTGTTCAGTATTTCCGCTGACACTTTTCACAAGCTTATAATAGGTAGCTGTAAGCTATTGTTGGAGAGGAATTTAATTTAATCACATCTCTTCCTTATGAAAAGCACTTTCTAAAGCACATTTAAAGTCAATGCTAAGGTGTCTCTAAATTACCACTTAGACAGAGTTTATTCACTTCTGATGGCCACAGTTTGACTGTACTCTCCTCTTTGGTCTATTGCTCTCTTTTAAATTGCAAAAACTGTGTTATGAACAAAATAGGCATAAGCCCTGCTGTTCCAGCACAGAAGCTATTCCCAACCAATGCTGGAGCTGCTTTTTACATAACAGGAGAAAATTACAAACCTAGAAAAATGAGGTTATCCATTTTTTCTCTTTCCCTGTAAAACTCCTGTTGGAAGTCACTTCCAACAATGAGATGCAGAATGTAAGGCGTTCGTTTGTTCTGGCAGAATGATTCCCACATGTTTCCACATTTGCACAGTCCTCAAGTATAATGAGATTGTGCTGAATGAATATATGACTGTAAAACTGGCCAAGAAACCTGTTTGTCATTTAATTTCTACTAAATATGTAGGTTCAGATTCATTAGGCTCTATGAATGTCTGATTCCAAGGTACATCTGATCTTAAGTAGTTCCTCTGTGTTATCAATGCTGACTACTCAAGCTTTTCAAGGGTAACATTTTTCTGGTAGAATCCCATGCATATACTTTGATATTCTTTCCTTTTTCTTGTGTAAATTCCAGAGACATGAGAGAAGACACCTGAGGCTGCTCTACTGGTTCTTTAGCTGATGGGAACCTCAACAGAAAATTTGTCTTAGATGAATGTATGTGCACAGTTATAATGTGGGGAAGGAGTTTAGGAAAAAAATCCAGTATAAGCGAGTTATTTGTTATCAAATTAATAGCAAGGAGATAGGAGCATACAGTTGTAATTGGAGCACTGGAGACAGAAAAAAATGGCCATCACTTAGCAGAAGACCTTTTAACATGCTCCAGTATGCCCTTTTCCAGTTGCCGCACTACAATCCTTGTGAGCTTGGGAACAGACATAAAATCCTCTCTGAGAATACCTATCCAGGCACATGAGTCCATGAGAATGCTGGGACACTTGCTAAGCCTGCTTATCAATCCTAAGACACAGAGAAAAAAACATATTTAATCTTAAAAATTACTTGATCATGAAAAGGAGGCTTGAACAGACAGGGATACCTATAGTATGTAAACATTCATCACTCTCTCTTCCCAAACAGAATCCTCATCACTCAACCTGAAAAACCAAATCACTGGGCAGCCAGTGTGTTGGAACTCTTCAGATTTTCTGTGGTCCAAGTGTAGGTAACACTCACAAAGATTTACTGAGAATTATTAAACCCAGGTGGGGATGGGCTGCACTAAACTCCAGGGGATACTCAGTGCTGGAGGATATGACAGAAAATTTGAGGTTTTATATAAAAGCATGGTTCTGCCTGTGATATATCTTTTTCTCTGGCAAATACTTTGATTCTACAGCAGTTTGTTAATGATCTGTTATGTTATAAACAATATTGTTTTGTTTTGTTGTGCTTTTGTTTATTTTTTAATTGATCTGTTTCTAATGATTCACAATTAATTATTACAGCTCTAAATTTTCAATTTAAGGTACTTTAAATTATTGTCCAGGCTTTTCCCATAGGCAGAGGCATGCTCATAGTACAGTCCTGGTGAATCAGATTTAATAGGCATTTTGAAACAAGCACAACTGCAATTATGCCCAGAGAATCCCTGCCAAATTTTTAATGGTTTATTTTTATTGTAAAAACATCTTGTAAATACCTTAGTTTCTTCTGGGATGGAAATTATTGTTTTAGAGTGTTCCACACCAAATTTTTACTTAGTATGCTACCTAGTAATCTATTTCTCATTACATAAAAATCACAAGTTATATTTCAATAAGATTTTGAACTAATAAAAGGTAAAATGCTGGAAATAGAGGTGTTTGTGTTTGCTATAATATGTCCAGTAGTTATTATTTCTATGTTACTCCTGATATTTCAAACTGCTATGCAAACACTAAGAGAATCATAAAACTGAAGAACTCATTATTGCTCTATCCTTACTTCACAAACAGGGAAAAGAGAGCACAGAAGTGCCCTGCCCATTGCAACAGGGAAGCAAAATTAGAACTTCTGTTCCCATCTCTCACCTGACTCCTGAAAATGTTTTGTGAATAACAATCCATCTTGTGAGAAAATTGTCTTTGATTTTACTTCTGTAATAAGATTTGGATTTTTTGTTCCTTCATGATGCACATTAAAAAGAGAAAGTACTTACACTTTGTTCATTGTGTTGATAAATGTTGTGTATCCAAATTTTGCACCATTCTTCCATTGAGCTTGAAATCCAAATGAATGCTAAGTAGTGCTGGTCACCCCAGGATAGCTATACCATTTTTCATCAGACCACATTATGCATATTAAATTGGCTCTGAAGGTTTCAATTTGTATATTTGAAGTCCAACCTCCGACACGAGCAACTCTCTGGAGTGTTTGTTTGTTTATAGAGCTACCACTAAAAACAAAGCAATAGACACAGTAGGAAATAAATTAGATAGGTAATTTTTTTTTACTTTATTAACAACATACAAGAATTAGGCACAAAAAAACCATTAAAAACATTGACGGATAAAATGTAAACATATTCACCATCACATCTTGATTGTAGAGTATTACAGTACAGTAAAAATGCTACTTAGATGCTCTGAATGAGATGCAAAGTAAATACCTTTGAGTTTTATTGAATTTAATTTCATTTGATTACCCTTCTCACAGGTAAACCATGATCCACTGACACTTGATTCTGAAATTCATTCATTTTGTTAAATTTAGCTTTAGCAGTATGCTGCTCTGAGGCTCCAGTCACACCTTTCATGGTGGTACCTCTTTATTTGTCATGAGTCCAGTGTGACATCACTGATTATTAATATAATTATTTGCCTTTTAAATATTTCTGTATTTAGCTACATCTCAGTTTTGCAGACCATGCTAGCTGTGGTTTCCCCAGTTTCAGAAGTGCTATCACAGGAATATGAAGGTATGAAGAAGGGGAAAAAAAATGTTTCCCCAAGAAATGTGATTTGCTGCTGTTTGTGGCGTCAGTAATTATTACAGCTAATATTCACTTTTTAAATACTTGTACATCTACACACTTTATCTTTGCATTAAATTTGACCTAACTATGATTTCCCCCTTTATGTTAAGCAAACATCTACCTGGAGTATGACAGAGGACACTAAAGCAACAAAGATGATAAAGTCAAAAAAACAAAGATATGATTTTCCATTCAGGTCAAGGAGGATGACATGGAAGTGATGAATTCTAGAAACACACATATCTTCTCTAAAATAGCTATTGAAGTAATTATGGGATTATCTGTACTATACAACTTGTTAACACTGTTAAAGATTACTATTTTTTTTTCTCTCAGGGGTGTTCATTCCCATTGGACTGCTCCAGAAGTGCAAAATATATTTGTTTAGTCAGAAGGACTCCTGCTAATTGTTCGATGGCTCTTGCTGTGCTGGAGAGATTTTATATTTATGTTATTGCTCTGAATGCAATGCACTTCTGATTTATTTTAATGTTGTTTGGACAGCTGTGAAGAGAAATAAAATGGAACAATATTGTTTTCCTATGCTGGTTTTGAAGCGTCATAATTACTTCAAATATTGCCTAAGATACCCACTGAGACAATCAGGGAACTTAATTTTAGATGAAACAATATGTATCTGAGGACTGGTAGCAAAATACACTGCAAAGTAATGGAAGAAGTATTGGGATAGAGATCCCTGCTAAGCACTAGGTTATATACCTACTCACCCCAGCCAGAGGTTACATATTTTGAGACAACTGCCAACTTTTAAGTCAGATATACTATATATTGTCTTAATTCTGTAAGACCCCTTTACAAATAACAGCAGAGATATCGGTGTGCCAATTGATTGCTATTTCAATCTTTCACAGAAGATGCACTTGTTATTGTGAACAACGTTCAGTTATTCCTTCAGAGACATCATTTGTAAGTTGATTGCTTTCTTAATGTTACGAAGCAGTCTTTTGATTAAAGAGAGAAATGAGAAATTTTATGCTACTTCTTAACTTTACACCTCTCAATGTGAATGTGTATCTTAGCATCACTCGTCATTCATAATAACTGCTAATTTCTCCAAACACATGGTTCACCTCTGAGGTTGACCCCACAGCCCGCTTCTCCAGAAGCAGATCTTGTTATTCCTTTTATCCATGCTGGCATTATATCCATCCTTCACAGTCTTCCATCTCCCTCATACAAATGCTCTTCTCTCATTTGCCTTACAAAACCAAAAGCAAAAGCTGGGTGCCTGGACCAGGCTGTAAGTGGGTAGCTTGTCTTCTGGCATTGTGGGAGAAACTTTTCAGTTCACCAAATCATTTACTCTGAGGCAGAGCTGTGATTCCCACCCAGAGGCAGGAGGAGGTAAGCTATGCTCAAGCGTGTATGAGTTAGTTTGGGGCCCATTCAGAACTCATGGCATAGTTTAAAGCAAGCTCACATAAGGTTTGTGCTGGAATTAGCAGTGCCCTCATAAACAAGGAAGTCTCCAACACTCTCAGAAGAAACGAACTATTGTAGGTGCAAAGGCTTGGAGACCTAATACTGCAAAGCAGCTTTACACCTCACGTATACTTTACACTTCCGCCTGCCCTATCATTTAAAGGTCCCTCAGCAATGCTCAGAGCTTTCTGGGGGAAAAAAGACTCAGAGCCCAGGAGGTAATTCTGTGATTTTCATATAAATAATTGGGGAACACTTAATCAGAATCTACGTCTTACCTTCTGCAGTTGTTTCCTCTGTTCCTGCAGAGGAAAAAATCTTGAGGGGCATTTGATTACTTCTAATTTTCATAATTCTTGGCAGTTCTGAAACACAAACTAAAGATTTTGGATTCAGAGCATGGGATGAATATATCCATTTTTCCTAGTATCCTGTCACCACGCACACAAAAGCAGATGCTTAGAGAAGAGAGAAAGAAAAGGTCAAAAGCATAATGATGTTTCCTTAGAATATTTTTCCAGCTCAAAGAGCTCCTTGAGTCTGAGATTGTGTCTTTGTAATTAATGGCCCTGATGTTTTTTTTTCTTTTGTTTTTTTTCAGTTATCTTTTGAACTCACATAGATGTTTTGCATCTGAAAAAAACTGTAGTTTACCTGCACAATGTGAAAAATCAGTTTCTTTCATTTGCTCTGAGACTGCCATCTGCTTACTTCTGATATCCTGTAGTTCTGCTTTGGTAGAGACTGTGAGCAGCCATTCCCAATGGAACTGTACATTTTTTTTTTAAATGCCATTCTTCTCCCTACTCCTCAGTCCAACTTATCTCTTTGCTAAGCTAATGTTTACTTAGTGGTTGTCCCATATTTTAAAAAATAGCTCCGATTTTTTAATATTTTGAATACACTATTTTGAATAGTATGTTTTTGAATATGTCTGCTACACTACTCTCAATCTTTCCCAGTTATACTCTCTTTTTTTCTGAGATCGTAGGATGAGAACTGCACACAAGAGTTCAATATGTGACTGAACCATGGATTTATGCAGCTGGGTAATGAGATTCTCTGCTTGTTTCAAAGGCTGCTCCGTCTTAAAACTGATTATCCAGCATGGCCTTGCCAGCTCCTGTAATGCATATTGTTTGGAGACCTGTAATTATGTAAGAGTCTCAGCTTGCATTTATGAGTTGCATAAACAAGTTTCTATCTTCTGTGACTAGAGAAAAATTCTGCAGGATTTAAAACCTGTAACTTTGAAATTGGAAGCTAAATGAAAACCAAAAGTGGATCATTTTGGGGGGCGAGGGGTATCTTTGAACATGATTTCATAATTTGAGGATATATGTAATATTTGTGTGCATTAGTATGGCAAATTTTTGTGCCACTTGGCATGCAGATTGGATGAGCTATGGATCTCGTCACCGTAACTCCATACTTGGCATGTCCTTACATTTTGACCACTGCATTCTCCACATGGTTCATCTCTGAGTGCACCTGTTAAGAGATGCTCTTACACGTGAGTTCCCAACCTGCAGAAACAGTCTGGGAGAGGAATGGTTGATGTGGAACGGCTCACACAGGTTCTAGGGTCTGCAGTCTTTAGGTTTTGGTGTCACAGTAGTATTTGGAAAAAGGAGCAGAGATGATAATCCCTCCACGTGTCTCATTTTACTTCTGACAGTGACATGTAAGCAGCCAGAGTCCTTCCCGAGAGCAAAAACCTAGTCCTGCTGATTTTTAAAATAAATTTCTGCCTCCTGCCTGTATTCTGAGGATTATGTCTGTTTGTTCTAGCTCAACACAGTTAAGGTCAGAAAGCAATGCTAAACAATACCAAAGTGCTTTCATCCCATGTTGTAAACCTGTAGAAGAAAATAGAATGAAGGCAGGGAAAACATAAGCAGGAGTTAGAAGTAGCTCTAGGGAGGGAGCTGGCATTAAAGCAAGATCCTTGCCAATAAATGCCAACCAATTTAGGCTGAAGTACTCTTGCTCAGCTGTATAAGGACCCTGCATGATAGATGAGAAATGGGAGTGCTAATGCAGCAGGTACTTATTCTACAGTCTTGTTCTTCTTCATAGAACTGTAATTAACTCTCTTTTTCAAGGAGTGCTATTACTGTTTTTATTTTTATTGACCCTTGAATCTTATTCAAACAGACAGAATTTTTTTAGGCTTCTGGTATTACTAGATGCTTAGAAAAAGAAATTCGAAGTAGTATGTACAAATAAAGTTTTGAGACAACAGCTAGTTTGATCGGTTTTATCCAACCGAGGTTTACATTAAGTCTTCTTGGAAATGAGGTAGGGGGAACTGTAAGGAGAAATGTGTGGGCCTATATGCACACATGTACCTTCTTGTTTACATTTAGATGGTTGAAAATGGTAAAAACAAATTTAAATTCAGTCCTATCATTCCCACTGTATTAATTCTGTCATGTTTCTGGGAAATTATAGACCTTTAGTATTTCCGACACTCATATATCATATCTTCATGTAATGTTGTATTTTGAAATTATCAACTTGAAAGGTAATGGCCATTTGTAAAAAGATTATGTAATTGTAATCTCTAAGGGCAGAGATTCTGAATTTCCAAAGCAGCAATTGTATTTATTTAAGTTGAAACTAAATTAAGAAAGCTGAACTCCTGTAAAATTACAAGTCCCATTTCCACAAGCTTAGTTAGGAAAGTTGTCTCAAAGTTCAATGGCTATTTTCTATGCAAAATTTGTTTCTGGAAATATTTTCTGATTTTTAACATTGTGATTACATACATAACAGAATTCATTGCCTTTTATAATTACTTGTGCTTTTTGAAGGTTGCTTTTTTGACACCCAGTATGTTTATTTTGTCATCTGAGTTGGTTTTCTGCACGTGTTTGGTCTTTATTAAATCCTAATTTTAAGAGTGTATATAGGTTCTGAATCTCCATTTGGGTCTCATTAAATATTCTCAATAGTTCCTTCAACTTGCTTCTCTTTTTGCTTCTCTTCACTATTGTTGGTAATCTTTCAAGATGTCCTCTTTTTTTTTATTCAGATCCTGTTTTTTAAAAAAATATGCCCATGTCAAACTGTTTTCTTTCTGCCTTTCCTACAGAGATGGTTGCTATGATTAAGTGGGTCCTGCCTTCAGCTGTGCATCATGAACCAGATCCTTTGCAATGTTTGGAAGTATACCGTACAAATGCTTCTCTTTTTGAAGACCTTCTGATTATCTTCTTCATGGCTCCTTCACTGATGATGTCTAAAAAAAAATTGTGCAAGTTGGTTTTGCTCTGTTGTTTTAAGTTTGTGGGGGTTTTTTGTTTGTTTGTTTTTCAGGTTTTAGTTTCATTTTTGTTTTGTCTTGAGGTTTGTTTGTTTGTTTTTCCCTGGCTCATCTTAATATTTGTCTTCTGCTCCCAGAATATCCCTTATTTCCCTCAGTATTCTGCACCATGCTCATTGTCCCCATTTTGGTTGTGTCATCAGTAGTGTAGATACCATACTCTTCCTACTTAAGCAAAACACTTTTGAGCAAATATTCAGATTTCCGCAGAATTCACCTTGATTCACTTGAATTGTTTTTCATTAGCACAGCCTGCCTTGCCAACCTTACATACTTTGCATCACAGAATGATCCTGCTAAGTATTACCTTGATTATCTTCTCTCCAACAAGCTTTTGAAGTGTCTGTTCTAACAATACGATTGTTTAAAGCCAAATATTCATTCTTTGAAACAACATTTGTGAAGTTTCTTTTTAAGTGCAAAAAACAAAACAGCACGCATTGGGAAAAACAACAGAAATTTTAACAGGTGTAAGTCAAATTTCTTCTCCTGAGCTCTCTTTAGTGACAAACAAAAAATCTGTTGGTGCTATTAAAGTAGAATTTAATTACAATCAGGTTTGCTGCCTAGAAGTCAGACAGCATATAGATAACTCCTAATGATAAGGGGCTTGCAAGAATGCTGGAAATGGACTTTTCATGCGGTCAGGTAGAGAGACATGACAAGGAGGAATGGCCTTAAACTGAGGGAGAGCAGGTTTAGACTAAAATTAGGGAAAAAATTCTTTACTGTGAGGATGGTGAGACACTGGAACAGGTTACCCAGAGAGGTTGTAGACTCCCCACCCCTGGAGGTGTTTAAGACCAGGCTGGATGACTCTTTGAGCCACCTGGTGTATTGGAAAGTTCCCTGTCCAGCACAAGGGGGTTGGAACCAAATGATCTTAAAGGTGCCTTCCAACCCAAGCCATTCTATGATTCTATAAGTGCATTGAAATTCTGGCAGACACTACCTACTTAGGGTGCAGAATCTCCTCCACTGAAGATCTTTCAGACAGATAATACCTTGCACAAAGAATCTGGTTCTACGTGAGTCAAATAAGCCAAACCACATTGTCTCTTTCAGCTTTACTTTCCTAACAAAACTTGACTTAATTAAGCTTCCTAACTAGGTTTCAAACTTGCATAGCCCAGGTAACTTTTCTGTGTGTCACTAATGCAGCCTGATGCTGACAATGTTTAGATTTCCTCTACTGTAAAATGAAGTCCTCAGGCCTCAGTGAGTCAATTGACTAACCGTTAATAACATAATTTTTAAAAAACACTTGTTGTAGTAGAAATTTCAACTGCACATTTACAACATGGAGAAGCTACTTTCAAAATACTTACTGTAAATATTGTTTCAAATGCTACAATTTCATATCCCCCAATCTGTTGTATACTAATTAAAATGAAGAGAGGAAATGTGAAAGACACATAAACTACTGAATTTTAAACATTTATTGAAGAAATTATTTTAAGAGAAGTAATTCAGGAATTCAAGTTGGATAATTAAAGGAAAGAAAATGAGGAATCTTAAACAACCCTTTATTTGTGTTCAAGTGATACCCTCACTGAAATCTTGTGATGACACCTGGAACTAACACACAGAATCACAGAACATTCTGAATTTGAAAGGGACCGACAAGGATCAGTGAGTCCAACTCGTAAGTGAATGACCCGTATGGGGATCAAACCCACAACTCTGGCATTAAAAGGAATGTGCTCTAATCAACTGAGCTAATCTCAGGGTCATGAATTATGAAATTTATCTCCAGATTTAGCATGTAAATGTAAGCATTTTTTGATGGGGCTCATAATAACTATGAAAAGCAAGACTGAGCATAAATGACTCCAAGTGATCACGTCTTCAGGGAACATGCACTCAGGTTAGCCCAGCACAGGTGTGGGCAGCAACAAACACTCTGCTTTGCTTTGCCTAAGAGATGACAAAGACTCTCGAAGGCAAAGACAAAGACAAAAGACTGAAAGAGTCCACAAAGAGGACATGATGACCCAGCAGCAGGGTGACTAAGCGTGCAGGATGCTCTGGCTCTTT